TACAGGAACAAACTTGTGTCTGAAGTCGAGGCTTTGCTGAATAAAGTCTCGTATTGGGGGCGACTAAATCTAGTCGAGTTTAATCCTCAGAAGATACAAGTTTGCGCGTTTACAGCTAAAAAGAACCCCTTTTTCGTATCTCCTCAGTTTCAAGGTACTCCCCTTGTTGCCTCAGCTAGTATCGGAATCCTCAGCGTCGACATATCGAGTGACGTGCAGTTTCGTGGTCACTTGGAAGAGAAGACCAAATTGGCCTCTAAAAAGCTTGGCGTGCTCAGCAGAGTGGGACAGTATTTCATGCCAGCTCAACGCCTGCAACTTTACAAGGCGCAGGTTCGGCCTCACATGGAATACTGTTCCCATCTCTGGGCTGGGGCTCCCCAGTGCCAGGTCCTTCCACTTGACCGCATCCAGCGCAGAGCAACTCAAATCATCGACGACCGAGTCCATTCCGATCGGCTAGATTCACTGGTGCTGCGAAGAGCTTGTATCTATTTGCATGTTTTATCGCATCTACCATGAGGAATGCTCTGAGGAATTGTTCGGACTAATTCCAGCTGCTAAATTTCACCATCGCACATCGCGACAAAACTCGCGATACCATAACTACCAACTGGATGATAGGCCGTCCACCACTGTGCGATTTAGAAGAAGTTTTCTTCCTTGCAAGATTTCCTTGTGGAATCGACCACCATCAGCGACTTTTCCGGACCGATACGACTTAGGAACCTTCAAGAAAAGAGCCTACGTCTTTTTAAAAGGCCGGCAACACATCTGCAATTCCACTGATGTTGCAATTGTTCATAGGCGGCTGTAGTCACTTACCATCAGGTGAGCCGTAAACTCGTTTGTCCCCTCTCCTTTAAAAAAAAAGAGTAGTTTAGATGATATAAAGGAACAAATGAACATACATACATAGCCCTCTAAAGTCATAACCCTCCTTTTTGGTTTTGCCGTGGTTGGGTAAAAGTACCATCACGCTCTTATCCATGAAAAACTTATCGTGTAGGTTTGTAAGAGAACCAAGACCCCATTTCATTCTGTAGTTATTGTAACAACAATGGGCAATACCGAAAGACTGGCTTCCAATAAATTGCGGTACCACAGCAGAGCATTGCTATAGTTACTACATTAAAGTTGTATCATGAACGGGTCAGCTCGAACAGGGAAGGACCACGCTCTCACAGAATACCAGCGTGGAGACTTCAATTTAGACTTCAAAGAAGCGTCAGTAGTCTAATGGCAGGGCGCGGACCGCGAACTCAAAAGGTCAGGGGTTCGAATCCACGATTCGACTACTGTCGTGAACCACTTCTAACACAAGCACACAAGTAGTTGTTAGGAGCACTAAGCTCACCAAAAGTGGTTAAAGGGAATATTAGTAATGTATAATAGCATTACTAGTATTTTTAAAAAATGGCAATACATGTAAAACAAATGGAAGTACAATAGTATGTGGTCGGTTGTCCCTTTTTTTTCGTTGTCCAACCGTCAGTAATATAAAATTTTAGAAATTATCTTTACATCATGCAAATTATGATGATATATCGATATGTCGATATTTATCACGCGATATATATCGATACTGTTTAAAAATATCAATTCGATATATATCGATATGTTTTCCCTTGCCCATCCCTAGATATGGGGTAGTGAATATTTTACACCGCTACTCTACGGTGCTTTTGTTTTCTTATATCTTATTCGATAACAGCAATGCCAATCACTTTGTTAGTATGGAATTTAAAAATTAGTGAATACTGGATAGGTTAAATAGGAAATAAGTCTCTATTTTAGTAATGTTTATGTTCAAAATATTTATTCAATTTTTGTACAAGTAAGGGTGACAAACGAGCACACAGTCCACCTGTTGATAAGTGGATGATTACCAGCGTAAATAGCAGCATACTGATATGTTACATACGAAAAGCGTTTACAAATAATTTAAAAAAGATATGACGGGAACCAAAGATACATTTTACTGAGCAATAAAACGGATTACTGGTTGTTTAGTCGCGAAACGAGAGGGAATTGCCCGACTGGCCCAGTCCCTTATATACAATATAGTTAGAATGTAAATGCCTTCGTTTACATAAATATTCATAGAGCATAGAATAATATTATTTATTTACATTACACTAACGAGGCGTACCAACTTAGACCTCTGTAATATAGGAAATGCCAATGAGGAGACGTGTTGCTTGTAGTATTTCTTTAATTAGACTAATTTTTATAATTGACTGCAATTATATGTGCAATTATATGCAATTATATGTAATTATGCAAAAAAAATGTCGTTCATCACACATCGTACACGTACAAATGAGGGCTATAATATTCCACTCACCAGATGTCGCTAGTTGACACTGAGGTAATTTTTTTTGTTAAACAATGTCATTTCATTGAGAAGTCACTTTCAAATAAAAGCTTATCAGTTTCTAGAGAATTATATTAATATACAAAATAATGCCTCAATGAAATGCTCTTTAATTCATTTTTACATGCATATATTGCACATTTTTAACTCTTTTTTTTCCACTTTTATGAATGTCTGTGTGTCTTCTATTAGCTACAGCATCACTTTACCATCATGTTGACTATATGATTGTTTGTCACTGTTATTTGTAATTATAAAACTAATGCTTACAGTTCAAATGTCTTAATCCTCATTTAAAAATATAAATATAACTGAACTCACCAAATGCACAAATATAAGGACAGGCTAAAAGGCCTAAGCCCGAAATAAATGACGCCAATCCCATAGCTTGCGATCTCAACACCGTAGGAAGAAACTCTCCAATTAACACGTAGAATACAGCAAAGGATGCCGCCCCACAGAGTCTGTCCAGCACTGCCAAGCAGACAGTCAACCATGGCCTGTCTAAAATGTATTTTATATATAGTTTTATAATAACTAGCTCAATCAGGAGAGAAACTTTGAGCTTAGCAGTACAAAGCTCGAAGTTCCCTTGCGTGACAGAATTTGTAGCAATGTATACGCAGCAGAACCAGTGTAACCGACATATTCCGCCGAAGTGGCAAAGGGACGGCCATGTAGCTCGACAAACCAAAAAGAAAAGAACTATAACGTTCCTTACTACATGGATTAATGACCTGGTAAAAGATGCTGGAAGTCATTGGATGAAGGGGGCTCAAGATCGTGCTTTGTTGCATAACATGGTGGGGGCCTGTGTTTAGCAATGGACATGTGATATAATGATGAGGACAAAAGGAAATGAAAAGAAATACAAAATATATCAAATATTAAAATTGTTTCTACTTTTAACCTATTTTAATTATTATTGACATTTTGTAAAATATCATATATTTATATTAAGTTTTAGTTCCTTGTATATTTTTGTCTGTAGATGCAGGGAACGCTGGTAACAATTAATGGTTTTTTTTTTAATAATGTTTTCTTATATTTACGCGAAGACTACACATTAAATGAAACTAATTTTTACGGATTATATCGCGTTTAATTTTAACTTTTTTAATTCCCGACGTTTTGGGTGCTTATTATTATTATATATATATAAAACTTTCGGCGGAGTGTTACCTAGCGTTAGCTCAATACAACAGCAGGTATTTGTCATTGCGCTACGCTGCACGTTCTACCAAACGCTCTTTTAGGCCTCTGCCTAACCGTGAGGCCGCTATTTAGAGACTATCAAAAACCCAAACTCCATATCAAAATTTAAGTCTAAGCTATACTATATACCACACAAATGTTGACATTTTGAAGTTTTAAGTCCAAATCCATATTCTATCTGAATACCTTTTTACAAATAAGTTAAGTAATTTTAAACATTGTAATATATTAAATCATAAAGAGAGTTTTGTCATAGGGGTTAAACAACGCCAACATTCTGACTCGAAACAGAAAAAATTAATAACTAATTTGGTCCAACCCGTGATTCAAGCCCGGGCCTCTTAATCAGCATCGCCATCTTCTCTTAATTACCTCGTTTATCTGATGATAGTAAGTTCAAAATACACGCACAATTATTTACACGAAAATGCTCTTTTGGGAGAGGTCTCTGTCAAGTAGAGGATTATTTTGTCTCGTATAATAAGAAAAACAAACACAAAACTTTGATACAAAACTTGTTTAATGCTCAAAATTATTGTAATAATACCTAAACATATATGTTAAACTATATTTATATAATGCTATCGCTTCGATTTTAAAGATGGCGCTCTCCGTGAGGTCTTTCGGTCTAGACTTAGAAATTTGAATACCATTACATTGATTGTATTTACATGATTTGGAAATGTACTTAGAACAAGTTTCACAATATTTAATTAGACACATAAATCAAATAAATGAAGCTGAAGTTTCACCAAGTGATAACATCGCAACTATAAAGTGATTTGAATTAATCTTTAGCCGTTTAAGTATTACGTGATCAAACACTTCCTTAGTTTATATACTTACAACTTAACTTTTTGGTTAAAAAATGTGCTATTATCAAGTTGGTAAATAGAGAGAGAGAGAGAGAGAGAGAGAGAGAGAGAGAGAGAGAGAAAGAGAGAGAGATAGAGAGAAAGAGAGAGCGAGAGTAACTCTTTTTTTAACACATTAAAGCTGCGTAAAAATACTTCATTGAAATTCAACTTAAGACTTTACCTACACTTTTTAACTTAAGACCCCTAGACTACCGAGGCCATTAGTCGCCTTGAGATTGCCTCATGGGCGGAATATTTGCGGATATATTATAGGCGGAGTGAAAACCTCAGTTTTTATTTTTTTTAGTGGTCGATAACCACGTAAGAAGGTGCTGCTCATCCACTGTTTCATTTCCCTTGACTTTTTGGTAATTCCTAACTAAACGTAAATTAAAAAAAAATATGAAATATATCGTGTTTTTTATGTGGGATGTATAAATAAAACGATCCGCCTATTAGACTTACTCAGCTTTTTATTTAATTTCAGTACATAATACATTTTATCAGAACAAATAAGTAGTCTAAAAAATTATTTCAACTATAGCTAAATACTACAGGAATGCGAATTGCAAGAGCACAATAACATAGGTTGCAAGAACGGAAATAATACGCAGTGGCAGCTTCGCGTCCACTGTGACCATGCTACTGCTATTCATCATTTTGTACGCTGCCCTGTTCAATCGTCGAAGAGTTTTATATGCCAAACGTTCATCTGCAAAGTATAAAGTCAATCTAACTACTCTTGAGAATATGGTACAATAACTGTTTCCTTTATGACGAAATCAACAAGTTGTAAATAATGTTGACTAAGCGAAAATTTCTACTAAGTTTAAAATTTAAAATAACTACTTCTATTCAGCCTAGGATTACTTTCCTATTTTTGACTTGAAATAGCAGTACGTGCGCTGCTGATTTTCGATCTAAATGGTATTATAGGTGACAACGTGTCTGTAGTGTTCTTTATTTGAAGTTGATTGTAAGTGTCCATGGTTGCGACCACGATTTACCATTAAGTGGACAATTATTTAGTATATCACATCAATTACCAATAAAAAATTACCTTCATCAACCTATAGAGGAGTTCTATTACCTTATATAGGCACGGACATCTGCACTTAAGGTAATCATCATTGTATGTCGTCTCTAGTACAACACTGAACAAACTCTTTCTTCATATAGTACCACATCTGATTCATCAGTTAGAGATATATAACTTGTATCAATTTGCCTCTACCTGAGTTATTTGGCCGGTCCAATTACTACTGATATTATATTGTTAAAATTGACATTTGTAAAAAACGATTACTCGTATTGACAAGGGAACGTGAGGGAAAAGAAGATGATATGTGTAGTCAATGTTGAGAGTACTGGGGCGGGGCATCCAATGCAACTTACAATTGTTTCCCGTCCGCTGTGCATCAAGCACCTCCAGGTCACCTTCGAGTAACTACGAGTTTAATATTCTTTTTTTATAAATGACAGCCCATAAAAGGCCTTCGCTAAAACCCAGGCCTCCCCCATAATATTAATAGCCTTCATACCAAATTTCAGTCACCACTAGATGGAGAATAGCCATCTACGCAGGACAGAATTAAAGTGTACGAGTGTATGCGCAAGCACAATTGACTACTCTTTTACGTGGTAGAGCCATGCTGCAGCTATATTAGTAGTATAGTTGTAGTACGAATGGGTCGGCTCGAACGCGGAAAGACCACGCTCTTACAGAATACCAGCGTTAAATAGCAGCTTAATATTGCTGTGTTTCGTATGGTGAGTGTAGAACCGGAGACCCTTTTCACTGGAAAAGAGGCATTCCATCTTAGTTCTCACGGCTGACAACGCATCTGCATTTTGATTCGCAAACGAGGATAGATGAAGATGTCTATGGGCCACAGTAACCACTTACCATCAGGTGGACTGTGTGCTCGTTTGTCACCCTATACTATAAAAACAACTACACTAAACACTCAACATTTTCATCATTGTATCTCATCACTAAATCACCATCGGATAAAGTATTCGTTATATTATATAACACACCTGATTCATCAACTAGGGCCTCATGACCCATGTGAGGTTGCCTCTACTTAAGCTATTTGGCCGGTATAATCACTACTGATATTACTGTTACACAGTTACAGCCTATTAATATCAACTACTGAACATAGGCCTCCCCCATAGACTGTCTCATAGGGGGAATATTTGCCATAGTTGCTACGCTTTACAAGCAGGTTGGCGATCACAATTTTTTATTTTTAGTCGTTATTAGGGAGTCGCTGCAGCCCATCTTCGGATTTGTTTCCCTCACAGGCTGTTGAAGAATAAGACGAAAACTAGATTAGATTGCGAAAGAGAAAGCATGATATTATACTTAATTCATTTAAAAGACATCAATCAGATTTGGATGACGACCGTAAAGCATTAGTGGTACAGAAATCGCTTACAGAACTCACCTGGACTCACGTCAGCTAGAGTGATCATTAATAATACAACTTCGGCATTTTTCAGTGCCACAAAAAAATTTTCACGCTCAAAGCTTATCAGAAACAGCAGCGTTATATTCTTCAACGTCCACATAAATAGAAAAAGTGTGTACAATCCCATGTTTGGAAACTGAAAATTATTTAAATAGAACTGCAAATATCGTAATAGCTTCAAAAATTCAATATAAGCTTAATACTATGGTACCTTAAAAACCTTCTGATTAAAATTAATCCGGCGAGAAGGCCAAAATTGGTGGATAATATTAAATATCCCGGCCTGGATGAGGCAACCTGTGAATTGTGCAACGCGATGATTTTACGTAGCTTATGGACTGTACGAGTATATCTTATTTCGCGATCAAATGTCCCTGAATTCGGGCCACAGGAATGGCATGACGGAAGGCATGTGCACTCATCTGGATATCTGCTGAGATCCCTCTTGTCTTCTTGAGCTGCGTTGCACGTTGGTTGGATGACGGTTGTCTTCTCAAATAACTTTAACTGATTTTACTAAATATTGCGTTATTGCAAATGTTTATACGATTGCTGTTTTCTTGTTTTGTTCAATATTTACATTACACCACGGCGCGAGGTGATGAAGCAAGATATAGCGGTGTGAGTGATAAGAAAACCAGGCAATGGACATTGCAATACTCTATCGGATTACAATAACAAATTTCTCAAGCGTTAGACGGTAGCTGCAAGTGGCGCAAATACCTTCGTCACATATTTTTTTTAGTTCTTTGTACTTACCCTTTACAGCAAAATTCACTTCAAAAGGGGAAATATATCATCATATCAGCTTAATACTGTTGTGTTTTGTGTTGTCAGTTTTCCAACTTAGTCCTTAGGCGTGATAACGCATCTGCATTTTGATTCTTCGATCGAGGACCACCAGTTCTGATTTTGGTGAATTTTGCAAGGGACACGAAATACTATGTAGTTTAATGCTCATTTTTGCTTGAATTAAGACAAACTCTTTGTGGTCTGATATTATAATATGTCGTTTTATTCAATGCGCAGGATATTATACTCTATTTTTAAATGCATCCTGACCCAAAACTATTACTGTTAATTCGTTTGTATGCTATGAAGTTCAGATCTCTGTAGTTCAAATGAAATAACAATAAAAAAACAGACAGTCAAATACGATTTTCAGCTCCTGATAAGGTCAACATTATTAATAAGAATAGTTTCTATTTAGTAGTCTCAGGTTCAAACTAGAGTCTAAATATACGATCTAACTAGAACTTGACAGAAAATTTCAAATTAAGCGAAAAGTGTAACGCTGTGGCTAAGGGACTTCTGTCGCGACAAGGATTCATTTTAACTATAGTTCAATCCCGAGACTAACAATAAACCACGTTTTGTAATGCGGTAGTATAAGTTTTAATAAATACTAACCACTATCAAAGATTGAACATTTGCTAGAGACTGCATAAATGTGACAACAATATAATACCACACCTGAAATATGAAAAGAAATCTGTAAAATTGTATGTTTATGCAATAATTGTCTATACAAATTAAGTCTTACCGGAATGTCGCAAAGCTCCTTACAAATGTAAGTAGCATCGAGAATTCTCTTCAAAACGCTGACTTTTTCTTGCCAAAATCCCAATAGCCTCGTTGGTTCATTTGAACGATATTCATTCACAACCGAAGTATTAAATTGTTTCATTTCAGTAATCCATAAGACTAAATAACTTCTCAATAACTTTATCATCCGTAACATGTAAACTATATTTAAATCCGCGAGCAACAACAGCAAATAAGTGAAAATCATTGTTAATGTAAGCTTTTCTTTAATTATATAAAACAAATAATACGAGAAATAAAACAAACACAAAATTAAAACGTGGAACCAGCTAATGATGATACTTCTATTATCAATAGTAACTAATTTGAAATACTTTTTAATTTTTTGGATAGTTAATATTAACATAACGTGTGTATCGCTCTGGATTATATTAAAAATAGAATTTAGACCACAGCCGACACAATATAGAAAATATTTCAAAACGAAAAGTGTTAAAAGAAGTTTCTCAAAATGTTTTATGGGATCATCGAAAGCAATAATAATTATGTAAGAAAGAATGAAACAAAATGCAATTAAGAGTGAAATGCAATTAATGGTGCGGTTGTTTGAAGTTATAAAATTATCACGAATATTATATTTTGGAGAAAACAATACAAATTGCACAAGATTTATCGGAAACAGGTACTTTTGAAGATCAACATCAAGATAGTTGTCTAGAAAGTCGTTTTGAAGGTAATTTAATGAAGAACATAATTTATTTGATCGGAATTTTATCTTTTTTATGTATTCTCTTCGTGTTGTTTTAAACATGGTTTGGCAAACAAATTTAATTTAGAAATGAAACTTCACTCTTCACGTTATTGATTTTATGTATTCATAATGTAAGCGATTTTCATTACATTAACTTTTATTGAAATTCCATCGTTCATTATAATATTAATGGTAATATAACTAATCGGTAATGTATGTAAATACTATATATACGTATGTATATTCTATCTTCACATATAATAAATCTATAGAACTTCGTGTCTATAATTCTAATTTTTCCTGGAAAAAACAAGTCCAAGGGACTAAATGTTCTTGTATACTGAAGCCAAATTATAAGTTTTTTGAAAATATTTTCCGTTTTTCTGTCTCTCCGATTATTCACGATTTACGAAAAATTACTAGACGTATTTCCATGAAATTTCGCAGGTGTATAATTGACCCAGGGCAGCTTATAGACTTTTTATCCGATTAAAGAACTTCGAAAAAAGAGGGTATACGTAACCCTCGTTTTTCCTTCCTTTTGATGTCATTTTTGTATTATCTCGTTTATAATTATCGGAACTATATATATATATATATATATATATATATATATATATATATATATATATATATATATATATATATAGTTATACAGAATGGGGTCCCACATATATGCAATAAATTACACCACAAGTAATACTAGTCCATAGAAGTGTAGAAATATTAAATATTAAATTAAAACCCGTAAAATAAAAAAGTTAAATTTTCAAACAAAATAAATATTAAAATAAATTCAGTAAAAGTAAACACTCTGTTTAGACAACGTACCTTGACCCCTTGGAAGAGTGGCATCGTTGCACGCGGGTGGCATGGCGGTTGGCGGCAGGCAGCGTTATTGTTCGTCGGCACGGCCTATGGTTCGTTTGGACAATGTGCGACGAAATAAAAACTTACTCATTAAACTGTTTAGGTATTTTACCGCCACTTTTTTATTTCGCGAAAATGGAACTGAACGAAATAAATATTATTGCATATTAGTAGCAAAATTTAATGAAACCCTATATTTTAAAATTTTCAAAATCGTTCTTGAATGCACAAGTTACATCGCCGCATAATGTTGTCCTGAAGCTTGCTCAAAAAATTTCGTTCAGGATCCAGAGCCAGGGCTTTTAATTTGTTAAAGGCGGCAACAATACGATTGCGCAGTTCATCTTCGGTTTCGAAAATCTTTGAGTACACTTCATTTTTAATAAAGCCACATAAAAAAAAGTCTAGAGGAGTGAGGTCAAAAATAGTAAAGTAGTTTCAATATCACAGTAAAAAATTAACGTACTTAAAACACTATTTACACACACAAAGTCAATCAACTAATGTCTATTTCACCGTAAAATAATTGTTTGACTAATTGTATTTATCTTACGATAATACGATAATTATCTTACGATAAATAATTACGATGCGCGTAGGCAGCGAAACGCACCTGTATCCTGGAACAATTGCGCGTGAACTGGAAGCTAAACTTCCAAATTCCAAAATGGCGAAAATAATAAAAGTAATAAATAGGGCGGCCACAAGGTGCAATAATCGTTTATCGATACTTTTCTTTTTACGCTTATTTACTTACTACATTTGAATACAAGTAATTTTGATTTTTGATTTCATAACAATCGACAAGTTATTGATATTTAAAAAAAAGTTTATTTTTGAACAATTGAACTTACGAAACTTCCGATTTGTGACTTCCTGGGAAACGGTTAAGTATGTATGACTTTTTAATTGGTTGTTTTTATGGGTTTTTTATCATGTTAAAATAATTTATTATCTCTAAATCTACAAGAACACACTTAAACAAAAAAAGCTTTAAAGCTTAGCTTTAATACTTAGGTCGTAGTATTTTTAGGATTATCATAACAACACGATAATTCTAAAAAAACCATACCCAAAGTGTTTAAAGCAAAACATTTTTTTTGTTTATCGTTTATTACTTACTCCCTTTGAAAGAAGCTAATCGTCGATAACAGGTGTCCTACTCTATGACAAAGGCGCGCGCGCCGTTGCGCCGTCGCCTTTGAAGTACGCCGCGTGCCTCGTGCCGCTTGTTTATGCACGCCGACAAAAGACACCGCTGTCGATACGTCGCAATACCAATAGTTTGCACTGCGTGGCAACGTCGCTTTTTAATATTCAAGGATTCAAGTTCATTGAATCATTGACTTAGTGACCCAATTCTATAGAGGGTTCAAATATGCTTAAAATTAAAACTCTACTTTTTGACCTAATTACTGGGCCGATTATGTTCATTTTTTGTACATCGTCAGCAAAGGCGATAACAAGTATGTGGTTTCATTTATTGCATATATGTGGGACCCCATTCTGTATATATATATATAGTATATATATATATATATATATATATATATATATATATATATATATATATATATATATATATATATATATATATATATATATATATATATAGTTGTAGTAAGAAAGAATGATAACGTGTGGATGGATAAAGATGTACAAAAGGTTGTGCATGAAAAGAAGAAAGCGTGGTTGGATTGGTTAGCAACAAAAGCTAACCAAAAAGTTCAAAAGGCAACGGATGACGAGATAAAGGAAGCAAGAACGAAGTATAAAAGATTGAAAACAGCAGCGAAAGAAATTGTGTCTAGAAAGAAAGAAGAACGAAAGGATGATTTCGATAGGAGGCTCACTGAAGATTTCCAGTCAAACATTAAGTTTTTCTGGAAAACCATCAAAACAACCAGAGGAAAAACTTCTACCTCGGAGCTGAGTACAATCAGGAGTCAAGATGGAAGCAT